ACTTTTGAATATTGGAAGAGTGGTGGAAGATGGGCCATTCTAAGTATTTTTCTCAATGCCTCCACATTTGCTTCCTTTTCTTTTTTATTAGTAATACAGAATAATGAGATATGCTTTGGTGCTAGAACACATATATAACATGCTTTTTATTTTTATTTTTCTTATCCCCCTTTTCCCTTTCTCTTTCCTTCCCTGATCCCCTTTCCCATCTCTAAAGTCTGCCTTCTACCTTCCTGCCCACCCTCCTTCCTTTATCCCTCCCTCCCCTTCCCTTCTCTTTCCTGCCCTCCCTCCCTCCCTGCCTGCCTGCCTGTCTACCTTCCTTACTTTTTCTTTCACATAAGAGACAATGTGATTTTTTTTTTTTTTCCAGAACTGGGGATTGAACTCAGGCCCTTGCACTTGCCAGGGAAGCACTTATTCCACTGAGCCATCTCCCCAGCCCCCTGTGGGTTTTTTTTTTTTTTTTGACAATATGATATTTAACTCACTTCATTGAACATGAAAGTCTCCATAAACTGCATCTCATGAAATTTCCAGTAAACAGGGCCAGTCAGATAGCTCAGCGGACAAAAGTGCCTGCCTAAGCCAATGCAGGAACCAGGGTTTGATTCCCATGGTGCCGGGCCGACCCCACTCCCAGGATGTGCTGAGACAGCAACTGAGACTGAGCGTAGTGGCTCGGGCCTGTAATCTCTGCTTGGGAGGCTAAAAACAGAAGGATCACTATGACTCCAACCTGCGTAGTGAGACCCTGTACTAAATACATTAAAAAGAGAGAGACAAAGAGAGAGATTTCTAGTATAGAATTCAAACACATCCTTTTCCCCAGTAACCGTGTGGGACTTAGGCCATCTCCCTGGCCCTCTGGTTTCTGTTGTCTTAAATATTAAAGAAGAAGGCGGTCTACAGTTGGCAGAATCAGTGCTTCCATTCCCCCTCCACAAAAAGCCATTGGTGCTCTGGCTGTTATACTGTTTAATTTTTTAATTCTTTGTAGAATTTCACTTTTGATCATGGTTTTGTTTTGGTTGCTTTTCCCCCATTTCTAATTTGCCTTAATAATTCACCTTTTGCTTAGAATTCTAAGTGAGCACCATTCATTTCAGGATTTTCAATAGAACCTGGCTTCCACTGTGTCTCTTGCTTGGCCATTTCATTTGCCAGTCATTACTTTGCTGAAGTGAAGACTGAAAATTGCAACCCTCAGCTGGAGTACTTTGTTCCTGAGGGTGATCATTCTGAAGAACATAGAATTATTTTTCAGATATTCTTACCCATTCTCCTTTCTGCATTTAATTATCATAATTTTGAATATCAGATTTTAGTCTGCTTTTTGCCACACAAGGAATGGCTCTCATGTTTATTAGATTTGTTCTGGCAGCCTTTTCATCTATGCTAAATTCCCACCGGGCACACTTAGCCTGCTGTGGTTACTACGTAAAGCTGCATTTAGCTCCTGGGCGGCGGCCGGGACTCAGTGGAGGTTGCGGGCACAGCGTATCTGTGTCAGCTAATCAACACTTGACCGTCTGTCATGTGAGACAGAAGTTGGCTGCTGGGTGCAAGGGTTGACAGGAATTCTTTCTCGTCTATAAAAAGAATGTCCAGGACTGCCTGAGCTCCGAAGTATCTGTCGGGAGGTTTGGTATCGTGACACTAGATTGATTGCATAATTTATTTTTGACTTTGAAAAAGTGAGTCTGAAGACTTCAGAAACATCTATCTCATGGTAGAAGCTTAATTTAAAAAATCCTTTTCTTTTTCAGTACATATCACTTTATATAGCTTTGCATTTTTCACCAAATTCCTTCAGTTGATGATTATTGTTTTTGATAATCTATTCCAAAGGAAGACTTTACAAGTGTTTTGAACCTAAACTGGAGCTGTAACGTAAAAGGATTTATTTCTAGCCTAGACCTTTTCTGTTCGGTGTGGTAATCAGTAGCCCTGCCTGGGATTTGAGCCCTGGAATGTGACGAGTCTGAATTGAGATGTGCTGGAGTGCACCAGCTCAGTGGATATTGAAGATATAATTTGAGAAATGGAGTGTAATTTATCTCAATAATTTAAAAATATTGATTACATGTTGAAATGATCATATTTTGAGTCTACTGAATTAAACTCTATGGGCTAAATTAATTTTACCTTTTTAAAGTGGGTAGTGAAACCCATTAGCAATTTTAAATTGCATATTGTCTTGGACTAGACTGGTTGCCTGGTGAGTATTTCTGGAACTAATTTGTTCGAAACAGAGGGGTCACAGGCTCTCCCTTCCCTCTTGTTTGCTACTT